GAGGGAGGGAGAGCAGATAGGGGAAAAAAGGAGGGGGAGGGCAGAGGGAGGGGAGGGGGAGGGCCACAGTGGGGCGGGGGTGCTGTGAAGCTGTCACTGATTCCACGGGCGGGCCATGCAGCGTCACATGGTGTTCTCCTTCTAATGTCTTCTGTTTCATAAATGAAAGAGGGAACAGGAATAATTTTCAACCAATTATTTTTTTTAAGAGAGAGAGAGAGAGAGGGGAGCCATAACCTTAAAAACCCCTCCAGACTCCTTGCCCCTCAGATCGAAACACAGGTCTGGGAGCTTGTAAAAGCAACAACGGTAAAATGGAAACGGACTTAAACCCTGTTGTGACACGCGAGCACATTTCAAACAAACAAACAAACAAACAAACAAACACCCTCTCGGTCTCGTCCTACCTCCCGACTGGTTGCAGCTGGCCCCCGAGAGGGCCATCCCGGGCCCTTGTGGTGAGGCAAGTCGACCTATCAATTTCAGAGTAGTCCCCCCACACACACACACACACACCTGGGGGGTCTCACAGGGGCACAAGAACTTTACATTCTGAGCGATTGTCCCTGTTCAGATCAAGGCGTGACTTCTGGCCGTGGACAGAGCAAACCCAGCTGAAGCGTCTGTAATCGGGTCTCTAGAGGAGCCCGTGCCTTGCTGAGCCCTGCACAGAGGTCCTCCGCTGAAGATGCGCAGTATGGCCGGCTCTCCCTCGGGTGCTGAAAGGCAGTGGTACTGGGAAAAGCCCATCTGGACCTTCAGAGGGAGTCTCTGTCAGGCCCAAACTGCCCTGTGGAGCCTGGGAAGAACTGGGCAGAAAGAGGGCAGCTAGCCGGACAAAACCACATTGGTGGAGCGTTTACATACATGCTAGCTCTTGGACGGGAGTCAGTCTGGCCTCCCGTAAAGTCACTCAAGTGAGCTTTGATTGGGTTGCTCCCTGTGGTTTGGGTTCACTTGGCCAGGCCAGGATTCTCCCACGACACGATCTCTCATGGTGCGGTCAGCTCCATGCAGGGATCTTCTGTGAAGCAGCCAAGCAGTTAATCTGGCCTCAGTCTAGATCCAATCGTGAGAGGTTCCATCTGGGGCCGGTGGCCTGCTCATAGTCCAGGCGACCGACAGTGGGTGGGAGCAAGCTCCCTTTACCGTGGGGTCTGGATCCTGCCTCGGGTTCTTGGCCTCCTGTCGGATTGCCTGCCCATCCCAGGAGCCATGAGTGGACTGCTGGCCATGGGTCCATGCAGCCTCCACCCACAGCCTGGGGTCCTCCTCCTTCATCCTCCGGCTTCCTGCTCATCAGGCCCTGCAGCCGCGGGACTCAGGAGAAGCCTCCAGCTGACAGCTGACTCATGGACTTGACGCGGAGTGGACAACGGTGTGAGCCCTTTCTGGACATGAACCTCTTTCCATCTGCAAACAGTGAAGGTCAGAGAGCCCTATGGAACCCACGCCCCTGGGGGTTCTGTTCAACGCCTCTTCCAACGCAGTTTGTCCTTTTGCTATAACTGACTGAAATGTCTCTTTATGCTTTGGTTCAATTCCTCCCTCCCCTCCAGCCCCCCACCCCCATCCCACCTCCCCGCTGCCAACCTTACCATTGGGAGTGGCTTTTCATGCCGCATGTAACTTCCACCTTGGTTTTAGAAGGGCTCACACTTCTCCAGGGCTGCCTGTTTTGGGCCCATGATTCTTTGACTAGTTCCTACGTAAATGACACAAGCATCAACCACCAGTGTTCCGTAACCCAAGTTATCCTACTGAATGTAGTTAGAAATAAAGGGAAGTTCTTCCTAAATGCAGTTAGCTTGAAGTTCTTTACCGAATGCAGTCTCTACAGGGTTTTTATCACTCGCTACATTGCTCACAAAGCAAACAGGTTGCACGCAGAGGTAGAGGGGCCGGGTAATGAGGCGTCTTCTCTTGTTTACCTGCCCCGTTAGTGATCGAAAGGTGGGCCCTGCCGTCTACTCAGTCAACAAAGACACCCTGAATTGTAAAGAGCTTCAGTGTGCTGTGTGCAGGCTCGGGGTCAACAGCTGTGTCTCATGGTCACCTGAAACCAGAGTCTATGTGAGCGCTCCGAAGTGTGAATTCGAAAGCCAGCGGTGTGTCACCTCTCTGTGCTCTGATCTTAGACGCCACACCACAGAAACCATGCCTCGGGCACCACTGCAGTCTCCTCCCTGGCACACCCTCTCTAAAAAAAACCTTCTCTTTCTTCGTCGTTGGACATGGAGTGGGGAGATTGGCTGTGCTATTCCGGGGCACAGCACTTGCATTTTGAGGGGGTGCTCTGCTGTTCAGCTCCTTTCTGAGGGTGAGCCAGGTCGTGCGATCCGACATGTGTGCCCTCTCTGATGTGGGAGGCCTGGGGCAGGTGGGTTGGGAAAAGAACTCTTGCCGTGGGCACGGAAACCTTTCCTGCAGGAAGGAGTATGATGTCATGTGTCCTCTGCTTTGGAGAGGCCCCCACAGGCTCAGGTCCTGTCCCAAGTCAGGATGGGGAGTGGAGCCCTGCGCCTGGGAAGTCTGGAGGGGCAGTGTCCACAGGTTCCTGGCCCAGGCAGTGAGGAGTCCCATACATTTCAGGGGGTGTGGTGTGTGGGGTGGGGTGGGGGGAAATGCTGCCACCCCTTTGGAAAGTGTTCACAGTTCCTTCTGGGGTCAAACATTCACCCCTCCCAAGAATAACTATGCCCATAGAAGCTTACTTTACACTCGTTGGAAACCTGAAACTCCCTTAAGTGCATTGTCCTAAAACGTAGGAGCTCCTGCGGGGCACCACGCGATGGGGCTCCCTCAGCAGTCTCATAGTGAGTCCTGGGAAAACGGAGGCGTTAGCATATCTCGGAAGGAGAATTCAGACCTAAATCATAGCTCTGTGCTGCCTTTCCAAAAAGTCCAAAACCAAGCCACACTCACTTCCACCTAGTGGACACCGCACTGCCCCTGTGGGTTTCTGAGACTGTCAGTCTTTGTGGTCGTGACATAACTTAATGTTGACGTTAAGATATGAGTGTAGGGGGAAAAGTTTAAAGAGAGAGAGAGTGTAGGGGTGGAATCTAGCCAGCCAGCCTGATGGTGCCTCCTTGTGGGTGTGACCCCATAAGGAGCATCCTGGGAACCTCCCCACCACCCCTCTCTTTGCTTCACCTTCCTGTTGGCTTTGGCAAGCCACATTGCTGAGACTGGAAGAGCCTTGTGAGGTTTCCACCGCCATTGGACCCACAAGACTCCGCACCCACCAGCCAGTGATCTCCCTGCATTCTGCATCATTGCACGTGGCTGCGTGAGTCTGAAGAGGGACTGATGGACTAGTATAAGACTTATGGACTTGATTTGGACTGGGCTGGGATGTTTTCTTGATATCTGAGTACTCCTTGATATAAAGCTCTTCCTTACACATCGACAAGTGTCGACGAATTGCTCTCTCTAGTCAACCTGGCCTAACACATTCTATGGGAAAGCCCATCTTCCTCCCACGGAGCCGCTGGGGGTTTCAAACTGCTGGCCTTGTAGTTAGTGGCCTAGTGAGTGGCATGAGTTTGTGCGTTTGTCAAAAGACAAAGATAGTCGTGGTCTGTACACCTTTCAGCTTGATTTCATTTCATCTGAGATGAGAGCTGTGAGCAGTAGAGACATGGCTGGAACGTAGACGCCCCGAGGCCCAGGTAGTCACAGCCCCATGAGCAGCAGAGGCACCGAGACCCTGGGCCAGGTTCTCGTAGGGAGGGAGGGTCCACCTGTGGAGGGGGAGCCCACATCCTGATGCCGGGTCTGAATTAAAGATGTCTCATCAACTCATGATCCTCCAGACTCCCACGGGAACCCCAGTTGCTGTCTACCTGGTCTTCGGGGTTCTGTGCTTCCAGAGTAGCCCCCTCCTCTGAGCTGCAGGGGACTTGTGCAGGAAAGGACAGTACATGTCTGGCTCTGGGTGTCCCCGTGAGCCTCAGGGCTGGGGCTCCGGAGTAGGGGTGCAGAAAGATGCCTCAAGATTGCCATCCTGCTGGGGCCTTCCCTCCCCCCGTCTCCCTCCCATCCCAGAGTGTTCTAGATCTCTGGTTTTGTACTGAGAGAAGTGAAGATCAAGTCAGCTCTTTGTTCTTGATGCTGGCTTCTAGAATAGTCCTTCCCGCCCTGCCCGCACCACAGGCTCTGTCCTCCCAGGGGATGCGAGTGGGCTCCCGTTTGGGCACCGACAGGAGCTAACTGTGTCTCAGGAGACGCCTTGTGCCTGCCAGCATGGCAGGGGCTGTTCTGCTGGGAAGACACCCCCTCTGCGGCCTTGCGACCACAGTAAATGTGCCGTGACATCTCCCTGGGGGTCCGGAGTGGGGGACTTAGTGATGCTGCAGGGCCAGGTGCTGCCTGACATGGGGGAGCAGGCGGGACACCGGGTAGCCCCCATGTTGGTGAGCCCTTTGTCACTGCTCAGCCCGTTTTCCACGCGAGTCTGGGGTTGCTCATTGACCACTTTGCACATGGCTGGGAGTTGCCTACCTGGCAGGGGGAGCAGGAGAGCCAGGGGTGGGGGGAACTGTAAGGGGATGCCCAGCAGCACTGCCAGCCAGGCATTGGCTTGGGGGGTGGGGGGTGGAGGCACCACCTGTCCTCTCTCGGAGCCCACCTGGCTGTAGGTTCCTCCAGTGACTGTGGTCTAACGTCCCCTGCCGGGAAGTGTCCAGGGTCCTGACTCAGCCTGGGACCTGAGGCCATACCCCTTGGGGCTGACCTGTGTCTGCTGTGGCCCTGCTGCTGTGGCCCCTCCAGGGGCCCAGTGCTATCACGGAAACTTCTCACCTGGGTCCTCTCACCTCCTGCCCAGGTGTTACATGGGAGTCTCTCTCTCTAAACAAGAGTCAGACAAGCCCTGTGGGCAGGACAGGGAGCCTGGCCTGGCCCCCTGTGGACTGCCCCGTTCATCACCACGGCTCTGTGACTCCCACCAAAGGATCGGGAGGGGGTTTGCAAATGGATGAAAGGGCTTGGTGGCTTTAGCTGCCACTGCCCCGTTGTAAGGAGGAAGCAGAGGGGAAGAGGAGCCGGCAGTGGACTGTGTCAGCGATCTGTCTGAGGTGCAGGCTGAGACCAGAGGCACCAGAGGCAGCAGCGTAGAGACCAGGAGACAGCGCAGAGGAGCCAGGCTGAGGGCAGAGGCCGGGCTCGGAGACCGCCAGGCAGAGATGAGCCAGACCGAGGGCAGAGGCCGGGCTCGGAGACCGCAAGGCAGAGCAGAGGAGCAGCATGAAGACTCTGTCGTGGTGAGGCAGCTAGAAGACCGTCCCATGCTGACCCATGGAGTTGGAAGCCCAGGAACCCCATGCCTGGGAGGCTGAGAACCAGAGAGCAAGCCAAACCTGTCTGCTGGCTGAGGAGTGGCACAGCGGTGGGACCATGCTGTGTTCTTGCTATGGATGGGTCCTGACTTGTGGCCACCTGTCCATTCACTTCCCTAATAGTCCCCCTGAGCCCAGCAGAAAAGTTAGTGTCGTGAGAGGAATGGGTGGGGTCAGAAGAGAGAGATGGGGGGC